TCTTAAAAAATATTTAAAAAAACCTTTATATATTATTTCTAATAAATTTTATCTTGAATTATTTTTCAGAACCAAGTTTATATACTTTTTTGCGTAACTTTACAAGAAAACTATGGGCACAAAGGCAAAAGCCAAACAGGTCGGTCAAAGTTAAAAGGAACTTTTATTATCAAAGGCCTGCGGTTTCAACCGGAAAACGTGCTCTGCAATTCATATCAATTTCTCTAAACAATTCTCTAAGGCAAAAAAGGAAAAAGCATGGATAGGAAATTCCAGTTCAATCAAATGCCTGACAACCTCCATTCTTCCTCACCCTAACCTCTTCGGCCACGCTTCTTCTTCCACTTGTTGAGCAGAGGCTGAAAAAGAATAAAACGAGGAAATCGTCAGCGTTTCAAGATTTTTTTCTTAATCCCTGTCTCCTTGCTCTGTGTCAAGCTCATAATTTGCAGAATTCCGAAAAGGAGAAGAAGACAAAACAGGTACTTCCTTTCTTTTCTTAGAGTTAGCGAGTATAAACACTGTTGTCGCTTTAGTGAGTTTTTTTTTTTTTGGCTTATTCTGGTAAAGGCATTGTCTTAACTCTTAACCTGACACGTAATGCTTTTCAATGCTTTTTAAGGATTATGAAAAGATTGGAGCAACAATCAATCAATTCAAATACCATATCCTTGTAGTAAAAATAACTTCGAATTTCAAAAAGATATTGTATTGGGAGGGGAATTGATTCATCATCTACATTTAAAAGTTTTCTTTTTTTTCCCTTACCTAGTCAGGAGTTTTCCATTTAAAAAAAAAAAAAAAAAAAATTCATCTTCTACATTCAAAAGTTTCATACACCTTTACAGTTAGCAAGATTGGACCCTTTTTTTATGTACGAATGCAATGAGGATCAAGAAGACTCAACTTTGGGCTATAAGCTCAATATAAATTATATAATCATTTTGAGATTTCTAGATTTCCCCCGCAAAGTTGAAATTTTGAGCACAAAATCAGGGCCTTAAAATCTTTTGTCCACCGTCACGGAAGCTTCAAGCCGTTTTTATTATTATTATTATTATCCAATTCTACTCCATTTCGTATAAAATAATTGACATTTTTTAATATGAAATTTGTATTTTATTATGTCATATTTTGAAGGTGATAAATATTTTTTAATTTAATTTTACTATTATTTATTGTTTATATTATCATAAAATAACTTGGAATTTCGAAAAGGTATGTTATTGTGAAGAGAGTTGATTCATCTTCTACCTTCAAAAGTTTCATATACCTTTATAACTGGAGAATAGGTGCAGATAAATATAAATTTTTTTTTATCTTTTATTTAAAATTTTAAATTTTATCTGTTTTTAAATGAAATAATAAATTTTTGTTTTT